ACTAGTTTTTAACTCAACCATGCTCTATATCATAGTATTATTATGAAGCATTTTGGTTATAATATCAGAGAAAGGTGTTTCCCAGTTTGATTTTCATCATTTTATGGAATATAATTATACCTTAATTATAAGAGACTATTACAAGATGTCATTTTACAGGCAGGATAAAATACCTGTCAATGACTGGTCAATCTTCCTCCGAAATGGAGAAGGGCTCAGAGAAGTGGTCTCATAGTAATGAGCTCTATTTCTGTTTTCTATTGGGGAGTTCTGCTCATAGAGAATTACAAGAGTAGATTTTAACAGACTAATCACTAACAATTTGAGTGGGATGGCAGGACAAGACTGATACCTGTGCTTGGTAATCACAGCAGCTGTTTCTGAGAAAGTCTCCCTCCTGCCAGTGAGGAAACAATCCCTTACACCAAGGAATTTAGAGCATAATTACTGAATGGTGTCTTTTCACAGCCCAGAGACCACACTAGACAATCACTTTTACACTGCCAAATGGAATGAATGCAGGAAAGCAGGATAGAATAGCAAAGTCACCAGGGACACTTTTCCCCTTTGTTTACAGATGAGGACATGACTAGTCTTCTTCACTACCCTTTTGAAGCCTGTGGTGTGCAAAATAGTTCTCAAGGCAATTGAGAGAAGTAGCTGCTCATGAGGAGGAGGTGAACCTAGATATCTAAATTTAGGTCCCATGTATACCCCTACCATGTAAGCACTTTTAAGTCATCCTAAGAGAAAATATGTCTTGAATTGAATCTATTTTCTTTTGCTAATGTTGATTTGAGCCACTGTTGAAGTGAAAGGAAGTAGGATGACACTTTTTTTTTTTTTAATATCCCTAGAAATCAGGGGTTTCCCAAATTTCTTGTGCTTCAACTAAACTACCTACAGTAGTTTAGTTCTTTCTAGCAATTCTAACAATTAGATTATAACCAGTTGAATTCTTGTATTACACCAAATTCTAAATTAGAATTCAGAGTCCTTGTGTTTCATCTGGTGTACTTTGTCACAGTCCTTGCTGGGGCATCCGAGCACCTTCGTATTCAAAGGGCAAAAGTATTTCTATTTGCATGTCAACTAGAATGTACAAGTAAAGATTTTTAAAAGGTAGAGAGGAAAAAAAAGTCCCTCTTATACAGTATTTATTTGCAGTCTAGTCTCTGGTTGTTAAAAACAAACAATTTTTAAGGAGTTTATATATTTAGGGCAATGTGGTTGAGGTCCAGATGTAGATAACTAGAGCTGTGGATACTGGAGTTTTTTTCTTTACAGTGGGATGCAACAGTACATGGAGAAGAGGGAAGAGAAAGATTTGTATGACAAATCCATCCCACAGTTCAGAGATCTTCCTTGAATTGCTTTAAAAAGAAGCAGACAAGACACAATAGAGGACTGATGGATTGAAGTGTTCCTATGTAAGAAGAAGTTTTTCTAATCTTCAAGGATCAACCTGTCCACTACCAAATTCTTAGGATGACACAGTATGCACATATTAAAAAAAAAAATAAATCTATTTTTAGCACATAATAAAATGCGCAGTATAAATCTGGGCGCTTTTTTTGCCCCATAACATTAACATATTTTATACATTTTTTTAATCCCCTCTGCATGTACCTAATGGCACCATGATTGAGAACACAGTAATCTTCCTTATAAGCTTCCTTGCAGACTGCAGTGATCCAGCAGTTTTTAATCCTAAATGATTTGTAAAACTACTGTAAAAGCACATGTGAGCAGTCTGAACAGGTATTGAGAAGTTAAATTTTCATCAGGTAATACATACATACATATATATATATTTTGAAAGTGAGTCAGTGAATGATTTACTTATCAGGAGTTAGAGTAGTAGTGTATTTTCTTAGCAAACATAGAAAAGATTTTGAACCAAGAGATAAGGAAGGAGAATTTGACACACTGTTCTCTATACTTCTAATCAGAACAGTTACCAAGATAGTTTTGTTTATCAAATGCATGAAAATTCTCCCACTATGTGAAATTTTTTTAATAAAACATGAAGAGTCTATAACTGCAAATCCATGCAGAAGAAATACAGTGCTTTCATAATTTGATTTGTCATAGTACTAATTTTATGCATAGACATGTAAATGCTGTCTGCAACTGGCCATGTCCCAACTCTGCTCTCACCTCTTCTGATCACAGGGCCTGATTATTTCTTTCTTACTCCTCCTTCTGCTCAGCTCTCTCTTCTGATTGGCTGGTTTTTAATGAACAAATTGCTGAATAACCTCCCTCTTCTCAATTTTTCTAATCCCAGAGGAAAACACATTGACTCTGGATTTTATTTTGGGTATATGCAGCCATGACTAAGGCCAGGGAGAATAACAGATGATAATACAATGATCCTGCATGATGTTCCAATTCCTCAGGAAGTAAAACTTTAATGGGATAAACCCCTGTTCTGAACACAAAGGAGGATGAAACAGAAAGGATAAATCCATTTGCTTATGTCCCAGCAGGGCTGGTAGCAAACAATGACCAAAACACAAAATACTCACCTTCTAGGGCACAAATGGAAGCTTGTGACACGTGGCTTTGTGCTGTGTGTATAGACAGAAATGTGTATTTAGAGGGCCTAATATGGCCCGTAAAAACACCACACGTGGAAAGTGTGTTTTGCTCAAACCCACACGTTTGAAATGTCTACCAGCCATGATTCCAATTAAAAATATCCCAGTACCCACAGATAAAAAAGGCAGATTTAATCCCTAACTGTAAATTACGCAGTACTTTTCCAGGAGCTTCATGTCCTCCAAGTCTCTCTCTCAAAATACAGCCAGAACTTGTCAGTAAGCTGAAGCATCATTAGGGAAGTAAAGCCAGAAGATGGACAAACTGTAGGACTATGGATCTTCCTTCAAAAACCCACCTGAACTCCAGTTAGACCTAGACTTCAGAAACTTAATACTAACCAAACAATTGTCTATGACACTGGTTAAAAGTCCAAACTATGTTTTTTGTAAGCTGATGATAAATATAGTGGTGGATATAATTGAAAGTCAAGGTTTTGAAGAAGAGCTTTAAGCAAATTTACAGACATCCTTAGTGACAAATCAATGGAAGCAGGTTAATGTTAAGCTAAGCTTAACATTTAATCTGTTTGCACATAGCCAAAGCTGTAAATAGGAAGAATCTACAAGATGAATTGGTGAAACTAAAAAGAATTTATGCCCCCAAATTTTATGTAATGAAACTTTCAATATACCATCTAAATTCCTGCCAAATTCAGGATCCATATTCACTGTTATAGAGTTAATTTGAATTTTGAATTTAAGGTGTTACTTCTTCACTGCTATACAGCATATTTGATAAGGACTGATTTATAGTTGAAGAGATGAAATGAGGAAGAACAGCAGAACATGAGGAAACAGTCTGGAAAAATAAAAGCAATAGAAAGAGATTTCATTCAGGTGTCTGTGTAAGTTGTCAACTGCACTGGCAGCTGCTCTGCCCACCAGAGGGTTAACTGCAGGTACCACGGCAGCGTCAGGATTTTGCACCCTCATAGGCATTTTCATTCACAAAATCTGCAGGGAGAAGTAAAGAACTTTTAAAGAACTAAAGTACTTTTTTTTCTGTTCTGTTGCCCACAAGATCATGTGAACGAAATATGCCAATGATGTTAATGACTTACCAGGCTGGATGACTGTAATCACTGCAATTTTGTTCTTCTTCTCTCAGTTTATATTTTCTCTGCTTCAAACTGCCCAGCCCCACATATCCTTAGTTAATGATTTTAAGTATACTAACTTAGTTACTAATTTTAAGTATACTAAGCAAATGCATTAGAGACTTGTGTAGGCCAGCCAAAGAGAAAGAGAAGATCCCACAATTGCATAGATATAGGTATTATTGTGGAAGAGCAAATAAAAACATGGATGCACAACTGAGCTGGTGAATCACACAGATATGGATAGTTTTTGTCTACCTGGGATGATGTCCTCCTTTACAATCTCATATCCCTGTTGTGATGCTGTGATTCAATGACACATTTAAGAAAGGCAAGAAAAAAGAGCACCAGCAGCACCAGTCAAGTATAAATCATAATTCACAAAAGGCATTCTTTCTTTAAAACACTATGTTATGTCTAGGTATTTTCCTAAAATCAAGGTTAGTAAATACCCTTAAAACTTACTTTAAAAGCCCTCACACATTAGATCTGAGATAGGAAATGTCTGGTTCCTCACGATGAATTTATTTCCTATTTGGAACTAAATAATTTTTGTAATTTTATAATTCTGTTCCACCACATACTGATCAGAACTGGTTTAGTAACTGACACACAAATAAAGCTTTATCAATGCCATCTGTGTATATGCAAAAATAAAAACAATAAAATCACTTTTTAAAAAATGAATGTCAAAACATGGATATTTGTATGTTTATATTAAATAGTAAACTATTTTAAGTTTCAAATTAGCTTTAGAAATGCTTTGACAGATAGTGCTGAGTAGATTTAATTTTGCTGTGACTGCAGGACTTTGGGTCTTAAAAGACCCGATATAACTAACTGGGAATTCAAAATGAAAATCCCGTATGATGCAGTTAAATTTTAGTTTCTGTTTGAGATTAATTATTGCAGTTGTCAAGGACCAGGCTCAAAAATGAGTCACAGTATTTGATGAAATAAATAATGAAAGGTTATCTGTCTAAATGAGATCACACCCTGGGCAGTGATAGCCATTAGTGTTTCAGTGTCTCTTCAGCCTTAGAAACCTAAGTAAGGCTAGCCTGAGACCCCTGTTACTTATTTCATTTGGAACAAGAGTTCTTAAACCATTAGATGGAGCCCCTCAGTGATGTTCAGACACCTCCAGAGCTGCCCCAGCCATACTACTCTGAGGGACTGGGAGAACCTGGGAGACTTTGAAGGCAAAATACACCTTCTCCCTTAAAAGAACAAGGGCTAATCTTCTGTTTATTTATTATGTTTATTATGTTTATTATTTAAAGTAATCTTTGACTCAGGAGGTTGGCTGGACAGCAAAGCCACTGAAGACAGACAAGTGGTTAGGGTGTCCTTGTGCATTATCAGATGTGCCTCACTGGCTGAGCTGGAGGAAGAAGCACGCTGATGTGACAGAATCCACTTACACTGGCATTAGCTATGCTAAGCCTGCCTGATAGATAGAAAACTTCTTCTTCTGAACAGATTTTAGGCACATTTCACCAGCCCTAGTTTAATCCTGCTGACAGCATGCCTACTTTAGTGCCATCTTTCTTCTCAGAAAATTTCACCCCTCTTTTCTCAACAGCTTTTACCACATGGTTCCTAGGGGTGTAAAGGGTGAGGAATTGTTAGCAAGAAATCACATTCCTTTACCCAACAGATTTGATGCAAATCCTAGACTAAAGGTTAAATTATTAAAGTTAAATTATTCAGCTTCACAACTAGTGGGATTAGGTAATGCAGGTCACATGTTCTTAATGCTTAGCCAGACTTGAGTCCAGTAGTAACTCCTGGCAGTTGTTACAGACTATTTATCCTCTGAGAACATCCATCACTGCCAAACATTTTCCAGTTGTGAGACACCAAATAAGGACCTTTTTTTTTCCCATTTAGCTGTAAAATGCAATATAGCTAACAGTTTGGAGTGGGGTTTTTTTTTGGTTTTTTTATTGTGGGCTTTTTTGTTTTGTTTGTTTGTTTTAATGACTTATATAATAGCTCCAGCAATTTCACTAAGCCCCAGCATCTTCCTTCTCTCACAATCTCTGAATAAGCGTCACTGCTGGTAGCCCACACCTCTCCTTTTCCACCCCTGCAGCAGCTTCTGATTTGTTCATCTTTGCTCTCTGCAGGGAAGGTACCTCAGCTGCCTTGCATTCATTCTTCATTCAGCAAAATGGGCTTTATGTAAAGTAGTATTAAAGTATTTTTAGAACATTTTTGGATTTTTAGTAGAATCCTTTGTAAACTACTATGACATATATTCCAGATATTATGAGAGAAGCGGTCAATAATGCAAATATCCCACTAACCTCAGCAGAGTACTTCATGTTCCGTGTTCTCCAAGAAGTCAGTAAGAGATCTTTGAAAATATAAAAAACATCACAGCAAATTCAATCAATAATGATATGTCTCTCTGTTGAATATGTATCTTTACCTAATGGAAAAGTCTTAAGTGCTGTTTAAGCACTTCCTTGCCAGACCATATATCTTCTGACCACTAGCGAAGCTGTTTTGCTTAAGGGGAGAGGAGTTTGTATCAGAGAGGAAAATTGCAACCAATTTTTCAGATTTGGAATGCAGACTTGGAGAAATGTTGCCCCAAACTGCCTTTTTTCTTCCCATCCTCTCCCTCTGCTCTTGGTTCATTTTCCCTTTTAGAACTTTAAGCAGCCCCATTTTTTCCAGATTTCTCTCTCCCCAACACAGGTTCATGCCTCACTGTCAATTCCTTTCTCCTTATATTTCTATCCCCCTGCCATACCTTGGAGGGGTTGTACACTTTCCCTTTGCGGCACCTGCTATGTGTGGGTGACTGGCAAGTGGCTTCAGTGAGGTATGAAGAGGAGCAGAAACGCCTTAGCTGTGAGGATCTCTGGCATCCCTGTGCCTGGGTTTCTGCCCTGGTTGCTCCAACAGGCTGTGGGAATCCCTGTTTAGCCACATGTTCTGCCTGCTGTGTGAAAGACTCCATTTTTTCCTAGGGCTGAAGATGGCAGTGCAAACCTGTTCGTATCCTTTCCTCTTAGAAGACTGTACTTATTTTGTCTATCACAGGATAACTGCTTTCCCAGCAAACTTTGCTGAAGGCAAAACAATGGAGGCTCCTTTCACGGCATCACTGGGGTTGCAGGAGAGGTTACTAAGTCTTTCCAGTTGTTCTCCTTCCTATTGCACAGGCTTCCCATTGACAACCAGCTCTTCTGAGCCCTGCCAGGAGATACTATTGCAAAAGAACAGGAGGGAAGCATCCTTTTACACATAATACTAAGTTTTATAAAAACATTTGGTGGTCAGGCATTATTCCCTGACTGCAGTCAATCCTGAGAATGTTTTTAAGCATCTTTGCTCTTAGCAGAGCCTTCCTATTCAAGTTGTACATTAAACATAAGGAATGACATTTGAAGAAATACTTTCATGTGTGGTTTGTCTCTAAGACTAATCTTCCAAGAATAAGCCAATCAAATGCAAATCTACTTCCCAACACCATATAATATGTCATCCTAATATATCTTTCCAGGCAGTATGGTTTCCCCTAACAGCAAAAAATAGAAAGCTGTCCTCAATAGAAAGCTGTCCTCATAGAGAGGGTTGGAAATAGTACAACACTGATGAAGTAATACTATTGCAACATAGTCAAGGAGCCTCCAGACTGTCACTTTCCATGAATTGCTGTTTGCAGCTGGTAACAAAGATAATGCACCTCTGAAAACATCCCACTTCAGTGGTTTGCCTTCATTTACCTCTGGCACACCAGCAATATCGTTAGAGGGATGCAAGCTGCACCATCACCAGTCCTTTGTGAACATGAAGCAATTACAGTGAACATGAAGCAATTACATAGAACAAAAAGCAGTCTCAGCTCAGCTTTCATCCCTGCCTAGATTTGAGTGAGGCAAGAAAAAGGTGTCAGATCTTTAAAGAATCACCACCTGATAAAAAAACCCCAGAAAAATCCAAGTGACTCCTAGCTGAATGCCCTTACTTTCCATCAGTCCTGGAACTGGGAGGTGAACAATATGAAAGGGAAACACATGCTGTGTATGAGCTTTCTTACAGCTGTAGGTGAGAACAGCACTTTTGTTTCAGGTATAAAATACTGTAACTGTAAAACTGAGCCTATTCTCAGTCTTCCCTTTCCCCCAACAAGGAAATAATAGTAGGAACACCAACTTTTAAGTACAGAAAATAATAGGAAAATTCCACAATTATCAGGTCTGTAATACCCTACAGCATTAAAAATGTTTAATAAGAAATGCCATCTTTTTATAAGAAATGTCACCTTGATTTATGTAATGAAAATACATTTAACATCTCAGAATAATAAAACCCATTTGCTCTACACAGAATAACTGGTGGATCACTGGGGTTAATTTTCCTGAGAGCTACTGAAGTACTGAACAACAGAACAAGAATTCAAACAGCAGTAATGTGCCAAAAGGATGACTTCATTCACTATTTCATATACGCAAAAATGGAGTGACAAATCATTCTCCATCAAGTCAAAACTGCTGCAGAGAATGCAGCAAGGAGTCTGTATTTTTACCTTTGTTCTTACAAGAAGAACAATGGAAGGTTTGCAAAGTGCATTCTAGTCTGTCAAAAGCACTCAGTGTTTGAGTCACCACAATGCCTGTGACCTGGAACGCCTACCACTTTTTTTTTCTGTGTTGATTAAACTTCATTAGAGGTGAAAGAACTGCATGCTGTTGCAGGAGAGGGGAGGAAGCAGCACTAATAGGCCACTTTCCAAGCAGATTTCCCAGAAACAGAGCAATTAATAAAAGGCCCTAGAAATGCTTTTCGTGCACTTCTATTTATTATGTCATGAAGTGCAAACTAAAAGCTTAATGAATCATAAAATGCAGCATTTTTATGATTATTTTTTTCGTGCCTAATCCAGATCTGTCTAAATAAACAAGGATAGTAATGTACAGGCAGAATTTCGATCACCCTCAGCCAAGGTCACATACACAAAACAAATGGTTCTGTAAAGAAAGCTCACGGAGTCTGATTTGCTATAGATTTTATCTGGGAGCTCAGTTCACTGGGAGCAAACTGTGTGTGCATTTTAAGTGAAGTTTCATCTGAATTTAGGATACTCATGACATAGTTCTTCATGTGGAATCTTTTGTGTTTTGTAGGAGCTGAATCCTTAGAAGAGGCACTCTCCCTTGTTAGGGGCACTCTTAAAGCCTCTCTCTCTCCTTGATAACAAGGTCCTGATTTTCATAAATATATAAGACTGTAAATTGTTTGGAGACTGCTGCTGCTCTCCAATTTGGTTAAAATTTACTAGTGGGTTAAAAAGCTGCCACAGCAGGACAGACAGATGCAAGATCACATCCAAATCACATGATTGCATAAGCCTGTTTCCTTAGAAAACCAGAAGAAGAATTCCAAGACCCACAGAAAGGAAATCACAAAGAAGGAAAAGAGCAATTTAAGCAATATATTGACAATACCTAAAAAGCACTTCCTGCCCACAGCAAATCTACACACATAAAAGAAAATTATTGAGGCAAATATTGTTCACAGATTAAAAACATCATAATGGCACATTAGTTTTTACTCATTTACCACATTAGTTTTCCTTACAGTAAACACAACTGAACTTCATTGAGCAACTACCAAAGAATCCATGCTTCATCATCCTAATATCAATGAAGCAATATAGTGCATCAAAGAAATGTTACCTAGTGAATGACTTTTCTTACTGAAGAATCAAAAACCCATCAATATAATTAATTTCTTATTTTTTTCCATAGACAAGAAACCAGGTACAAGTCTCTGTTCAGATAAGCAGGAGAATGAAGACTTAATTCCTTTAAATATATATATATATATTTTTTTATCCTGTAAGCCATACAGTTTTGTTTTACACAGTACTTTTCACTATATACAAGATCAAAGCAAACTTTCAGAAAACACCTCCTTGGTTCTGCTCTGGAAACTTGTCTCCTTTGTTTCCTTTTCCCTCCCCAACAGCTATTTTCAGCCTTTCCACTAAGTTGTTAGTTGTAACAAGTTACCAGACCTGGAGGATTGTTAGCTTTGCAATGAAGCAGAAAAAAAACCATGGATGAGGTTCTCTCCTAATAGCGTTATCATGTGAATGACACAGAAATTGTAGCACCCTGGGCATACTGATGCAACTTACTTTGAACCGACAATTTGATCATATTTTAGAAGAAATTATTTCTGGCAAATAGTCCAAATGTGCCTCTCTTCCATGAGAGTGGACAAATTTATGTTGTCCTAGAAACATTTGCACAGGTGATAGGGGACAGGGTCTTATGTCACACAAGGAAGACACCTTTGCCCTGAGCTGAGATCCGTATTACTAATGATGGGATGACGGCAGCACTCGTAGCCCTCTCCCAGCTTTACACACACCTCCCATCCTCTCTTTTGCCTGTGCTCCCATCTGAGCCCTCGCTCGCTTCCCTCTCCTCAGCAGGGCGGCCGGGCTGACACGGCCTTTGCACCTGTGCCAGGCTCTGCAGCTTGGAAAGAGCTCCCGGTAGCTTCCACTGAAGTGCGCTTAGGTAAACAAATCAAGGTAAACAAATCCTCAGCTGGGGAACCCATCCGTGACATCTTGAACAAGTTTTTCACTGCAGCTGCTGCCATCACTGCAGGAGCATCACTCAGGGGTGCGGCACTGTTCCAAGGGCTCGGTTCAGGAAGGCAGGGCTAATCTCTAGTATTTAACAAAGGGAAGGTCTTTGTGAATACTTACGTTGGGAGGTAGATTAGATTTGATACTATGAGAAAGGACTATAAACCCAAAGATTTTTTATGGAACCTTTCATAACTCAAAGGACCAGATAACCTTGTTTCCTTGCTTCTGAATTAGCTGCAGTCTCAGTACTAATTTTTAATTCTCAAAATTAGTTTCTTGCAATATATGCTGGTTAAATTCAAGACTTTAGTGTTTCTTGTGTTTAATGGACCACTCTTTCACAAGAAATACAGCCACTGTCTAAGAAACATACTTGGAGTCTTGTTTTTTCCTGGTGTGGGGTAACAGCAGAATTTTGCTTAGTGATTATTCAGGTACACATAAATAGCTGTTTGGGAAGTCTGTGTACAGAGACAAGTTAGCAAAGTTCCGAGTTCCAGGAGTAGCCTGAGTGCTCGTTTTGGAGGTAGCCTTTCTCACCACAATCATGCTTTGTCTTTTTAGCAGACAAGCTGTACCAGTTGCCACGTGGTTGTTTTTCTGATGGGCTCCTCTCCCAGGGCAACAAAATCCCCAGCAAGCAGCAGTGACTGCTACAATTGCTGAGAGCAGAAATAAATGCACATTCAGGACTGATCTACTAAGAGCCTTTGCTTTCCTTACCCCAGCCCATTATC